GAATTGTTATCTCAGCACTACCTGCAAATCACGTCATGTCAAGGAAACTTGTTATACTCTATACCATTAACTATACTGGCTCAATTCCAGGACATTTGTTGTTATCTCTGTCAGCCAGCATGGTGACATTCTAGGAATTATATTATCCCTAGCTGTATTTGTAGAGTTAGAGGAAATTTGTTATCTTCCATTAGTTATTTCTGTAAGATCCAGATGGACAATATCAATAACATTGTCAAGATAGAAGGAGGAGTTTTTACTAGCCCACATTCCAGTCTTTCAACCAATTGTATTATCCCTGCCTCCATGATGCTGTCAGTCTTTTAGCCTCTCATATTATTTTCCCCGCCTGTCAACTTCTGTGCTTTGTTCTATGCTTATAAAAAAGGGGCTACTTCTCTTCCTCGAGGTCTTCGGGCTCACAGAAGAAGCCATTGATCCTCTTTATTTGTAAATTCATGCTTTACTAACAAATTGATAATGCTTGATTCCACTTTTCTTTATTTGATTTTACTTGTGGTGCCCCTCTGACTTAATAAAATTCTTTCTAAAAAAAACCTTTTTAGGTTTTGGGTTTATTCTGACCAACATGTCACATGTGAAGATATGAATTGCAGTAGTTGGCAACTGATTGGTTATGTAGGAGACCAGAGAGTGAAGAGTCTAGGATAATGCCAAGATTACAACCTGAGACACTGGAGAAGGATGATGCCTTTAGCAGAAATAAGGTGGTTCTAGGTGAAAGATAATGAATTTAGTTTTGTGTTAAGATATTTTTGAGACATTGATTTTGAAGTGTCCAGAAGGCAATGTATTATATAGGACTTAAGTTCAGAGAAGAGATGGTCTGGATATGTACATCTGGAAGTAATCTGAATAGAGATGATAGTTAAACCCCTGGAAGCTGATAAGGTAACCAAGAGAGTACAGAGAAGAGCATCTAGGACAGGACCTTAGGAAACATCCATAGTTAGGAAGCATGATATAGAGTAAAAGAGACTGAAAGGGAGCAGTCAATACAAAAAAAAGAAAACTACCCTGTGATTATGATGAAATACTATTGTACTATAAGAAGTGATGAGCAGGATGCTCTCAGAAAAACCTAGGAAGACTTGCATGGGCTGATGCAAAGTGAAATGTATTCTGTACAAGTAACAGCAATATTGTAAGATGATCAGCTGTGAATGAAACACTTAGCTATTCCCAGCAATACAATGATCCAAGATAACTCTGAAGGACTTATGATGAAAAATGCTATCTATCCCCAGAGAAAAAACTGGTGGTGTCGAATATAGATTGAAGCATACTTTTTCAAACTTTATTTTTCTTAAAATTTTTTTGTCCATGTTTTCTTTCACCACATGACTATTATAAATATGTTTTGCATGACTATACATGTATAACCTATATTGAATTACTTGCCTTCTCAATGTAGGGGGTGGTGGGGAGGGAGGGAGGAAAGGAGGGAATTTGGAACTCTTAAGTTTTAAAAACGAGTGTTAAAAATTGTTTTTACATGTAACTGGGGAAAAATAAAATATCAAACAAATAAACAAAAGAGAAAAAATAGACAAAAAAGGATAAAGTTAGAAAAAAAATTTAAACACCAGATAAAATGGGTGTTTACGTATACATAATAAAATGAAAAAAGAGGATTGTCCATAAAACTGCTAATCTCTATTATGTGCAGCTTGCTTTTAAAAGTAATGTATATAAATTCAACATACAACTTTCAAGCTATCTTGTCTGATTCTTTCTTGTCTTCCTTTGTTCTTTTCTATTTAAAAAAAACCTCTTTAGTTGACCTTTTTTCTTTCTTCCTTCTTCCTTCACTCCTTTCTTTCTTTCCTCCTGTCCCTCCTCCCCCTCCTTCCCTCTGTCCTTCCTTTCTTTCTTTCTTCTTCCTTTCCCTATCTCTGTTCCATATTGCCTTCCTACCCTCTACTGCCTTTGGAAAAAAAGAAAAAAAATTATATGAAATAGGCATAATCAGGCAAAACAAATTCCCACATTGGTTGTGCCTGAACATATATTCCTTATTTTACATCTTGAATCAAGTCACTTCTTTATCAGTAGCTGGGTATCATGCTTCATCCTCAGTCCTTTGTAATTTTTGTTGGTCATTGCATTAATCAGAGGTCTTAAACCTTTCAGAGTTGTTTTTTCTCCATAATCTTGTTATTGTATAAATTGTTCTCCTGGTTCTGTTCATTTCACTCAGTATTGGTTCAGTTCATTTAACTTCTCTCAATTCATTTGTGTCCTATAAAATAGTGAAATAGGTTGGAATAAATGGTGTTTGAAAACTTTTGTAGGTCACTTACCTCTGTAGTTCATCTATCTTATATGACCTTGGAGATTAGTCATGGACAGAATCTCAATTACCTTATTTAACTGCTTAATTAACTATAATTTGAACATTCTAGTTATAGTTATTTTGCATTTGTTCTAGAGTCTCTGGATCAATTTTGTTTTATTATCCTTCTACCCAGGAAGAATTTAAATTCTTGTGCCTGAATATAGTGTTAGAAAATTAAAAACAAAAGCTTGGGTATCTGGGGTCACAGGGAATATTAGCTGGCTGCATGATATATGTTATATATTAAAATTAAGTTTATTCAAGCCAACAGTGCTTTTATTTTGACAACTAAATTTTATAATATCAAAGTCTCACTATCATCACAGTTTGGTATTATGGGTAATCTGTCTAGGTCAGTGTCATGTCAAATCTCTAATGGTTGGCTTTGGGTTATTTGGAACAAATAAGTGTCAATCATTAAACATTTACTAAGCACCTGCTAGACTAGTGTGGCCCTTTGACTGAATCCAAACTTCACAGATCAAATCCCCTTAATAAAAGGATTTGTTCTATAAAACTTGGACTCACATCAAAAGGCTGCACCCAAGAACCTAGAAGGCCACATGTGGCCTCGAGGCCACAGGTTCCTTGCCCCTGTGCTAGATATTAGGCACCATGCCAAGTTCTGGGATTATAAAGAAAGGTAGTCCCTGTTCTCAAGGAGCTCACAATCTAATGGGGGAGACAACTTGCAAACAATTATGTACAAACAAGGTATATACAAGATAAACAGGAAATAATCAACAGAGGGAAGGCACTAGAGAATTAAAGGGAGTTTGGAAGAGGCTTCCTATAGAAAGTCGAGTTGTAGCTGTATTTGAAGCCAGACAATCCAGGAGGTGAAGATAAGAGACAGCATTCCATGCATGAAAGAAAGCCAGTGAAAATGCCCAGAGTCGGGAGATGGAATGTCTTGTTCCTAGAACAGCAAGGAGGCCTGTGGCACTGCATTTCTTAATATGTATGGTGGAATGGTGGTGTTAACAAGTCGTAAGAAGACTGGAAAGGTATAGAGGAGGTAAGCTAGATAATGAAGAGCTTTGAATGCCAGAGGATTTTATATTTAATTCTAGGGGTGATAGGAAGCCACTAACGTTTATTGAGTTAAGGGGGTTTGACGTGATTGCACCTTTGCTCTAAGAAAATCACTTTAGTGACTGATTAGAGGATGAACTGGAGTGGGAAGAGAGTCTTAGCAGGCAGACTAACCAGAAGGCTATTATAGCAGTTGAGTCATGAGGAGATAAGGACCTGTACCAGAGTGGTGGCAATCTCAAAAAAGAAAAAGAGCATGTTCAAGAGATATTGCAAAGGTAAAATGAACTGGCCTTAACAAAAGATTAGGTATAGGAGTGGTGAGAGAGTGAAGAGTCAAGGATGACACCTAGGTAGTATGAAATATTAATTATCAATCCATTATTTACTCTTAATCATATCTATTGTTTTGCTCTTATAAATCCTAATAAATTAAAGAAGTATGTATAAGACCCTGTGCAGACTGACAGGGTATGGGCTCCAGTTAGCTTCCCTGATTAGCCAACTTCTTGTTTTTGCTCTTGCAGAGCTTGTCTGCTGACAAGCTAACATTTATCTATAACATTCATATTAATGGGTATCTAACTGTTTTGATGATTTCTGCTTTGTAATGTAGTTTGAGGGGCAGTTAGCTGGCACAATGGATAGAGTGCCAGGCCTAGAGTCAGGAAAACCTGAATTCAAATCCAGCCTCAGACACTTACTAGCTGTGTGACCCTGGGAATGTCACTTTGCTGTTTTTGCCTCGGTTTCCTCATCTACAAAATGAGCTGGAGAAGGAAATGGCAAAGTACTTCAATATCTGCTAAGAAGACCCCAGATAGGGTCATGAAGAGTCAAACATGACTGAAACAACTAAACAATAACAACAAATATAGTTTGAAATCTAGTACTGCTCAGTTCCCTTCTCCCCCCCCCTTTTTTTTTCATTTTTCCATTGAGATTCTTTTTCCTCCTCAGGATGAATTTCATGTTGTATTTTTTTCTAGTTCAATAAAATAATCCTTTGGTAGTTTAATTCGTATAGTGCTGAAGATGTACAAATATGCCCTTTATGGCACATCTAGTTATCAATAACTGAATATATCTTAATCATTTTGTCCCCTTTTTTCATTTAAAAAGGTTATATATACATAGGTATATTATCTTCTTTGTGCCCAGTATCTTATTTGTTTATGAATTACTGGTAATGAAAGAGTATATAATTAGATTATATTTGTATGCTTTAAAAACCATTTTTGAATAAAGTCGATAATGGATTTAAACACTTATTGCTGACTACATATTTCATTGGGATTAAGTTCATTAGTCTATATATACACATATAGGAAGAATTACCTAAAGTGATTGTGCTATATTTGTGTTTACTTATAGTCTTAACTTGTATTAAATAAAAAATAGAAGTAAAACAAAAAAGTGCTATTGTGCCTTAGCTTTTCTTAAATTTTTAAATTTTTATTTTTTTACCTTAGCTTTTATGAAGGAATTTTCACACACACACACACACACACACACACACACACACACAGACAGACAAATTACTATATTGGATTCTACTTCATTTTACTAATTTTGTTATTGTTCTTAATGTTTTTGTTCCATATAGGAAATTCACATGGGGCATTGTGTAAATCTGACTGATGGTGCTGTGGAAGCTGTTCTTACTTGTTGCCCTCAAATACACATTTTACTCTTTCATGAATGCCCTCTGATAACAGGTTAGTTTGCTATTATATGAATGCTTCTTTATGTTGACTTCCAGGAATGATTAATTTCCATTTTTCAAGTTTTGTAATAAATTTTTGTCAAGTTTACATGTAATATTAGTCTGCCTGCCACAAGTCTCTTTCCACTGTATTGTAATGCAAGAGATAGGCTAGGTAATGAAGAGCTTTGAATGCCAGAGGATTCTATATTTAATTCTGGAGGTGATAGGAAGCCACTAAAATTTATTGAGTTGAGGGGGTTTGACATGATTGTGCCTTTGCTCTAAGAAAATCACTTTAGTGACTGATTAGAGGATGGACTGGAGTGGGAAGAGAGTCTTAGCAGGCAGACTAACCAGAAGGCTATTATAGCAGTTGAGTCATGAGGAGATGAGGACCTGTACCAGAGTGGTGGCAATCTCAAAAAAGAAAAGGAGCATGTTCAAGATATATTGCAAAGGTAAAATGAACTGGCCTTAACAATAGTTTAGATACAGGAGTGGTGAGAGAATGAAGAGTCAAGGATGACACCTAGGTAGTGTGAAATATTAATCAATCATCAATCCATTATTTACTCTTAATCACATCTATTGTTTTGCTCTTATAAATCCTAATAAATTAAAGAAGTATGTATAAGACCCTGTGCAGACTGACAGGGTGTTGGCTCCAGTTAGCTTCCCTGATTAGCCACCTTCTTGCTTGTGCTCTTGCAGAGTTCAGCTGACAAGCTAAGTTGCTCATTTCTATTAAAAGTGTTGCTGTAGATTACAAATTGTTAACAGTTAAAACTAAGTTAAACTGAGGCACAAAGTTCCAAGCATGAAAATTTATTATTAGCAAAGTATATTATCAATAAATAGGATCTCAGCTTCCTCAGCAAAGCTAAGACACCATATGAGAACAGCTGTCTTTTATAGTTTTGGGAAGTACAGAACAAAGAACAGGACTTTGTAGGTGGGGAACAAGTTGTGATTGGTTAAAAGAGCTTGACATCATGAATTGCAAAATCAATGAAATTGGTTATAGTGCTAAGGCATACGGGACGATATAATTGGTTAGGAATTGGGAATGAGGGGCTAGCAACAACCCTCTCCTTCCCTCCTGTGATTAAGAAATAGTCATTTTTTGAGTCCACTTGCAAGGTTACAGATAGTGGAACAGACTTCTTTGGATAACAAGCCAGACATCCTCGACTCAAGAAGAGAACAGTGATTGACAAGAGAACTAGATTTCTAAACTTAACTCATTAAAGGCCAGCTGGATTCTGAACTAAGTTTATCGATAAAGAACCATGACTTAGGCAGTTACAGGACAAAATCAATTAACTATAAATAGGAGCAATTAAAAAAAAGGACACATAATCAATCTGATCATTTCAAAAGCATAGTTACTCTACTATAAGCCATCCCTTGGCTCACTTCTTAAACAGTCCTAATCACTGAATCACTTGCCTCAGTGAAAGAAAGAACTTGGAAAGACCTTAGCTTAAAAAGGCCAAGGTCTCCTACTACATCCTGGGCCATACTCAGTTGTCCTGATCTATATCTGGCCACTGGATCCAGATGGCTCTTGAGGAGAAAGTGAGGCTGGTGACTTTGTACGGCCCTCCCTCATTCAAATCCAATTCAATTGCAAGTCATGGCATCATCTTCTTGGTATCATGGTCCTCTTCAAGAATGAAGGACAAACCACACAACCACAACTCTACTATCACTTATAGTAATGCCCACAGTTTGAGTGTTGCTAACCTGTTAAAGTTCCATATTCACAGATGTAAGTTCCCTAATTTTGTCACTAATGCTTACACAAGACAGATTTCCATGATGATGGTAGTGGAAGCTTTTGTAATACCCCAGTCTGAAAGCATAAATGTCTGTGTTAATCAATATCCTTTTCCTCAATTTGTGATGATCAGTGTTCCTCATCTACTGTTTTTTTTTCCTTTTCTAATTCCTCATTTATGCCTACAAAAAATGCTCTGTAAGCTCATAATGAGGTCCTTGTACTAACTAAGGTGGTCTTGAACTTACTTAACCGGCAAAATTGCTAATAAATTGATTGTGCTTGTAACTCTTTAACTCAGTTTGTCTTAACAGTAGGGAGTCTGGGTGGGTGGGAAGATAGCAGTGCCATTGACAATAATAGGGAAGGTCAAAAGTGGGGAAGATTTTGGGGAATGATAATAAATTCAGTTTTGGACATATTGATTTTCAGATGCCCACAGAGCATCAAGTTTCAGATATCTAATAGGTAGTTGTAGGTATGAGACTGAAGGTCATCAGAGAGAAAGTACTTCTGTGGCTGTATAGAGATGAAGAGTCTGATACACATAAAAGATCAAGAAAAACTTAGATTCATCTTAATTTCATCTTATTTGTCTACAATTAGGATAACAAAGCAAAAACAACTGTAGAAATTATCTGCAGTTTTATTAGGTCTGATCTTAGGGGATATATTTACCAAAAAATCCAGGCAATTCATGAGACAGAACTTTTTTGTACAAATTGAATATTTATTCATTCAACAAGCATTCATTAAGCACCTTCCATCTGGATAACACTTTTGAGAAACCTAAGAGAAAGGGACCAAGAAATCTAGAATCCAGGTGAGGTTTACAATATAATAAAATGCAGAGCATAGTCTGTAAAATGTAACAGTAACTAGAACAGTAACTAGAAGATCTGCAAGTCTACTCTTTATTTAGTACTTTATTTTTCCCTAGGTACATGGAAAAACAATTATTAACATTCATTTTTAAAACTCTGAGTTCCAAATTTTTCCCTTCCTCTCTCCTCACTTCCCCACATTGAGACGGCAAATAATTCAAGTTATGCATGTACAGTCATGTAAAACATATCCATAATAGTCATGTTGTGAAAGAAAACATGGACCAAAGAAACTCAAGAAAAATGAAGAAAGTTTTTAAAAGTATGCTTCAATCTGTATTCAGACACCATCAGTTCTTTTTCTGGGGATGGATAGTATTTTTCATTATAAGTCCTTCATAGTTGTCTTGGATTGCTGCATTGCTGAGAATAGCTAAGTCATTCACAGCATATCTTACAATATTGCTGCTACTTTGTATGCAGTTCAGTTCACTTTGCATCAGCCCATGCAAGTCTTTCCAGGTTTCTCTGAGAGCATCCTGCTCATCATTTCTTATCACACAATAGCATTCCATCATAATCACATACCACAACTTGTTCAGACATTCCCCAATTGATGGGCATCCCTTCAATTTCTAATTTTTTGCCACCAGAAAAGAGTTGCTATAAATATTTTTGTACATATAGGTCCTTTTACTTTTTGTTTTTTGTCTCTTTTGGGATACAAACCTAGTAGTGGTATTGCTAGGTCAAAGGGTATGTATGGTTTTATAGCCCTTTGAGCATAGCTCCAAATTCCTCTACAGAATGGTTGAATCAGTTTATACTCCACCAACAGCGCATACATAATGTGTCATTTTTCCCACATCCCCTCCAACATCTATCATTTACCTTTTCTGTCCTATTAGCCAATCTAATAGGTATGAGGCAGTACCTCAGAATTGTTTTAATTTGCCTTTCTCCAAACAATACTGAGTTAGAGCATTTTTTCATATGGCTATAGATAGTTTTGATGACTTCATCTGAAAACTGATCATATTTTTTGATTTATCAGTTGAGGAATGGCTCTTATTTTTATAAATTTGACTCAGTTTTCTATTATGTTTGAGAAAAGAGGCCTTTATCAGAGAAACTTGTTTTAATTTTTTTCCACAGTTACTATTCCTAACTGTATTTCCCTCTATCCTTTTCCCTCCCCCATTTATTCTATTCTTTTTCTCCTTTTACCCTGTCCCTCAAGTGTTTTGCTTCTGACCACCAGCCCCAATCTGCCCTCCTATTTATTACCCCCACTTCTCTTGTCTCTTTCCCCTACTACTTTCCTGTAGGGTAAGATAGACTTCTATACCCAACTGAGTGTGTATGTTATTCCTTCTTTGAGCCAATTCTGATGAGAATAAGGTTCACTCACTCCCCCTCTCCTCCCACCTCTTCCTCTCCATTGTAAAAGCTTCTTGTTGCCTCTTTTATGTGAGATAATTTACTCCATTCTACCTCTCGCTTTCTCTTTCTCCCAGTACATTCCTTTTTCACATCTTAATTTTATTTTTGACATATCATACCTTCATATTCAACTCACATCTGTGCCCTCTGTCTATATATACTCCTTCTAACTACCCTAATAATGAGAAAGGTCTTATGAGTTACAAATATCATCTTCCCATGTAGGAATATAAACAGTTTAATGATTTCCCTTTCCTGTTTGCCTTTTTATGCTTCTCTTGAGTCTTGTATTTGAAAGTCAAATTTTCTATTCAGCTCTGGTCTTCTCATTAAGAATGTTTGAAAGTCCTCTATCTCATTGAATGTCTATTTTTTTCCCCTGAAGAATTCTACTTAGTTTTGCTGGGTGGGTAATTCTTGGTTGTAATCCTAGCTCCTTTGCCCTCCAGAATATCATATTCCAAGCCTTCTGATCCTTTAATGTAGAAGCTGCTACATTGTTATCCTGGTTGTGTTTCCACCATACTTGAATTGTTTCTTTTTGGCTGTTTGCAACATTTTCTCCTTGACCTAGGAACTCTGGAATTTGGCTATAATATTCCTGGTAGTTTTCATTTTGGGATCTCTTTCAGGAAGTGGTTGGTAGATTCTTTCACTTTTTATTTTACCCTCTGGTCCTGGAATATCAGGGCAGTTTTCCTTGATAATTTCTTGAAAGATGATGTCTAGGCTCTTTTTTTTTTTATCATGGCTTTCAGGAAGTCCAATAATTTTTAAATTATCTCTCCTGGATCTATTTTCCAGCTCAGTTGTTTTTCCAATGAGATATTTCACATTTTCTTCTTTTTTTTAAAATTCTTTTGGTTTTGTTTTTATTGTTTCTCATAAAGTCATTAGCTTCCATGTGCTCCATTCTAATTTTTAAGGAATTATTTTCTTCAGTGAGCTTTTTGACCTCCTTTT